GAGTGTTTTAAGCATGCGTAGCCTGGAATTCAGCTGTGAGCGTTTAGTTTTAATATGTTGTGCCCAAGTGAGACGGCGATCGAGTGTTAGCCCGAGATATTTAACCGTAGGGGTTGAGGGAATTTGGATGTTATAGAGAGTTACCGCCGGACATTGGGCTTGTTTAAGGGTGAAAGTTGTATGAATAGATTTGGATTGATTGATTTTAAACCGCCATTTCCTGTACCAGTCCTCCATTTGAGAGAGATGATTTTGAAGATAAGTGGAAGCTAAAACAGGGTCTGCGCTAGTTGATATTATAGCTTTGTCATCTGCGTAGTCCGCCACTAAGGTATTGGGCATAGTGGGTTGGTCTGAAGTATAAATATTAAACAAAACTGGGGATAGAATTCCTCCTTGCGGAACGCCAGCTCTAATGCCTGCTATACTAGAATATGCAGATCCATGACGAATTCTAAAGTAGCGATCTTCAAGATAAGATTTAGTGAGAATGTAATATGTTGGGGGTATGCATTTCTTAAGTTTGGATAGCAGCCCTTCATGCCATACTCTATCAAAAGCTTGCGAGATGTCAAGGAATGCGCATGTGCAAAATAACTTTTTTTCTAACGCAAAGGTAATAGCATCAACAACCCTGTGAACTTGATGAATGGTGGAATGCTTGGCGCGAAAGCCAAACTGATTGTCCGGTAATATATTATTTACATTTATGAAGGGAATAATGCGTTTGAGTATGAGTCTTTCCAGAACTTTGGCAAAAAAGGGGAGCAAGCTAATCGGTCTATAGGAAGAGAGAGAGTCAAGGGGTTTGCCTGGCTTTGGAATTAGGATAATTGTAGAAAACTTCCAGATGAGAGGAAAATAGGAGAGCCTCAGAATCGCGTTGAATATATGGGTTAGTAAGATTATCGCACGTTTGGGTAAACATCTAGCCACTTCGGCTGTGATAAAGTCGAAACCCGGAGATTTTTTGAGTTGGTATTTTTGAATCGTGAATTTGACGTCATTTGGTGTGAAGTGTTTCTCTAGGAGGGTAAGTGGAAGTGGAGAGTTGAGGAAAGCTTGGACAGTATTTACGTTTTCAGGTTCAATTATATCTGGGTGAGGTTGGAAGATTTCGTAGAGATGATTTTTAAATAATTCAGCTTTCTCGAGATCAATTGAAGCAAAACTGCCGTCAGTTTTAGATTCTGAGTGAAAGGTGAATGTATTGATTTTACAATGATGTGTGTTTTTTTATTTTTTTTTTATTTTTTTTTATTTTTTTTTATTTTTTTTTTTATTTTTTTATTTTTGTGTCTGTCATCACGTTTTAGGACAGTAAAAGTGCTTGGATTTTCTTCATCAGTAGCTTTTCTGATAGGAAAGTGAATCTAGTTGGTACTTTGGGGGGTCAAAAGTATAAATTTCCCAGTAGTTTTCACAAGCGCCGGGAAAAACAACATAAAAATTAAGGAAAAACGGGAATTTTTACGCAAAATTGGTTTTCCAAAAAATCGATTTTGGTTTTTGGTGTAACTCTGAAACAAATGAACGTATATACATGAAATTTTCACTGGTTGTTTATATTTGCATTTTCTATACATGATAACATTTTCAAAATATTTTGAACTGTTTAGGGACATTTTCATTTTCCATTTTTTTTTAGTTTTTTTTCTAAAAATATCAATAAAATTTTATTTGTTGGTTGCGAAAGCTTGAAAATTTAATAGAAGGCTCCTAATATATTGCTTCAAAGGCAGATGAAAAATATTAAAAATCCTTAGTCACAATTTTTTTTTATAAGCATTTAAAGTTCAAAAATTGACAAAATATGGGAAAATCACGAAAATTAGCAAATTATTTTGAGTTAAGAATTCGTAAAAATTTTTCTTTTTAAATCTAAGATTTGAAAATTAAACACAAGATTCCTTATAAGTTTGTCTACCTTTATCAAAAGAAAAATGTTTATAAGAAAGTCAAATTAAATTTTTATGAGCGTTTGAAATTCAAATTTTTACAACATTGAATATTCACTCGATTTCCCATGTAGCGATTTCCTTATTTTGTTGTAATTCAAAAACAAATAACTGTAGATACATGAAAATTTCACTGAATGTTTAAATTAGCATTTTCTATACACCATACAATTTTGAAAATATTTTGACTCTTTTTGAGCTGTTTATGGACATTTACAGCTTTCAATTTTTTTTAGTTTTTTTTTCTATAAATATCAATAAAGTTTTATCTGTTGGGCCAAAAAGTGTAAAAATTTAATTCAAGGCTCCTGATATATTGTTATAATATCAGTTGAAAAATATTAAAAATACATAGGCACAGTTTTTTTTTATAAGCATTTAAAGATCAAATTTTGACAAAATTTATCAAAATCTCGAAAATTATCAATCATTGTAATTAATAAATTATAAAATGTTCAGTTTTTATAGCTAAGGATTGCAAATTCAACACAAAGGTTCTCGTAAATAGTTCATACTGTAACCAAAAAATCTAAAAAATATATGAACACAGTTATTTTTTACAGACATTTTAAATTCAAATTTGGACGAAATTTCATATTAAAAAACCTAGAATAACTATTTTAGTTATTTTGTTGTGATTGAATAATATTATTCGTGGATACTTGAAACTTCTAAAGTGTACTTTTATATATCTATGATAGTATCACGGTTTTTGTTGATGTATAACGCGTTATAAGTACCTAATGGATATTTTGATATGATTAATTTGGAATTTATTATAGGTACCCATTATAGGTCAATTTTTTGTTTAATACCATAGATATGTATATAATATGTCTTATACATAGACTGACATACCGTCTGCGCTCAGAATCGTTTTTCTTATACAATGATATTATATCGTTGAATTCAAATTTAATATCATCCATTATACAGTGACCCACTTGTAACCTACTGTACAGCAGAGCGACACCCACTTGCCCACCTTTTTCTTATTGGAGGGATTGCAGGATTGTGCTGAAGTATTTGCTTGGTTGTTTTCCAAAGACTTCCATCTTTTGTCGATAGGTTGGATAGGTGATTCGCAATAGAAAGGGATTTGTTTTTTGCTAGAATTTTTTTAAGTGAGTTGGCCAGACTATTATATTTTTGTTTGTGAGATGGGAGGTGGGTTCGTTGATAGAGAGCTCTGGCTCTCCGTTTTTCAGCTATGAGCATACGTATGTGATTTGGTAGTGGGAATTTGTTTTTGGAGAGCAAGTTTGCATTAGCACCTGAGTTAGAGGACCTGGCCGCGGATTGAATTAGATTTGTGAGACTATTTACAGCTGAATCAATATCGTCATTCGTTTTTAATTTAACATTTAGTTTGATTATCTGGTTAACTATATCATGGAATTTGAAGCGATCAGTGGAGGTATTAAAAAGGGTAGGAGGTGTTTCATGAGTTGAGGGGTAGTCATTAATCGTAAGGAGAACTGATGAGTGATCTGAATTTAGATCAAGGATATTATTAGTAGTGCAGTATAAACTAGAGGGAATTTTCGCGACAAATATATCGAGAATATCCGGACTTTTTTGAGGGGAGGTAGGCCAGTAGGTAGGACCTGGGGGAGCTAAAATTTTGAAATTTTTTGTGGATACGAAGTTGTGAAGGACAATACCTCGCGGGTTATTTACGCGGCAACCCCAATTTTGATGTTTTGCGTTGAAATCGCCACCAATAATAAAATTGTTATTGATTGTTTTGAAATAATTCGCGAAATGTTCACTATTGAGATTGTGTCTCGGGGGAGAGTATAAAGCTGCAACCGTTATAGGGATATTGTTAAGATGAATTGTTACGGCACAGGATTGAAGAAAGTCTTGGCAAAAATTGGGGAGGGCTTGAAATGCTATTGTTGATTTTATAAGAATGGCTACTCCACCATGAGCAGTGTTGTCTGGGTGATTTGTTTTAAGTAGTTTGTAACCTGGAATGTAAATTTGTGAGTGTTGGGTAAAATGGGTTTCTGTTATGAGGGCCAGGTCAATTCTTTTATCATATAGGACAGTTTGTAGTTCGTTTACGTGGTTTTTTAAACCATTTGCATTGAACAATAGTGTTAGGAGGGATTTATTTGTGAAAGCATTATTCATTTTTTTTATCTAAAAGACTGGAAATGACTTTCGTGAGAAGAGAGATTAGAGGATTTATAAGAGTTTTGAAATCTTCTAGGAAATTTGTAATTGTAGAATTTATATTAGGGGCTGATTCAGGTGTCGGAAGGTTTTGTGATTGGCCTGCAGTAGCCTGGGCGTAAGATGGTGAGAGGTTTGGAGGAGTACCATTTTCTGGGTGGCTAACTTGTACATTATGAGACTTATATCTAACATTATCTGATATGAAAGCATTACTTGCGACTGGTTTCTTGCGGCGCTGGAGTTCTTTATAAACGCTGCAACCTCTGTAGTTGGCCGGGTGGTCCCCAGAGCACAGCGCGCATTTGGCTGGTGAATCTCGAGGTTTGGAGCATTCTGAGGATGGGTGGAAAGCACTGCAACGAACACAGCGAGCAGAATACCCGCAGTAGGCTCTTGTGTGGCCGTACTCCTGGCAGTTGAGGCACTGGCTTATAACTTTAGGCTTATATGGTTCCTCGACTTTGACTTTGGTATGCAGCAGAGAAGAGAGTTTGAAAATATCGTTCGAATAGTGAGTTGGTTCAAGGTCAACGAAGAAAAGAGGTAGTGGGCATTTGCTGGTCTTATGTAGTACGTTTGTGACTTTCCTTACCTCGAAAAGACGCAGTTCTAATTCGCTTTTTATAAGATCTGTGGATGTAGTCGGGTGGAGGTTACGGATAACGGCACGCGTCGGCTTATCTTCTTTGAGTTGAAATGTGTGATATTGGGCTTTTTTTTCCTTTAAAAAATGGATGAGTGTTCTGTAGGATTGAGGGTTGGAGGTTTGAATTTTTAAGCTGTCAGTCGAGGATTTGCAAACAAAGTTATCTACTCCAATTATCTCAATTAAAGATGAGCATAGGTCTGGAAAGTTTATTACACCTTTTCAAAAATTGGCGGTGGTAGTATAATTTTGTCTGCAATGATAGGTGTTTCAGGTATTTCAGGTGGTGAGTTGGTGGATTCAGTTTGCGCTAGCGGTTCGTACCGATTTGCAGTTATAAATAGTTTTTGAATTTTTTTGCTTTGATCATGATTCGGAGAGCTCGGGTTTGAGGAAGATGACAGATTCCTTTTACCGGGATTTGTTGTCCAGTCTGAATTTGAGGGGGAGTTGGACGAGTCATATTCAAAAACCATGTCATTTGAATTTGTGGTGGATTTTTTAAGGCGAGCTGCCTGTATAACGTTTTTAGAATTTTTACTATTTTTACCTTTTCCGGTTTGCGGTGTAGTTTGAGAGTGCGGCATATTATCTCAGAGCAAAGGTCGTGGGACGCTGCCCGTGACAGCGATAACGCGACTATTATTTAACAGTGATTGTATTTTTCATACAGAATTTTTGGTTAATTTAAATGTGAATTTACACAGTTAACGCAATTTACGGGTTGTAAGTTTGAATTCACTTTGATTAATTGATAGCAATTTCCATTTGTCTATTTGTACATATTAAATTTGTCACATTCGAACTGAAAAAATAAGCGTGAACGAAACAATTGACGGAGCGTAATTAATTACGTGCGCGCTGAACAAGGTGCAATCCGCGACTTGAAATCTTAAATTTAAAAAGAAAAATTGATATGAAATCTCAACTTAAAAAATATTGGCTAATTTTCGTGATTTTTCCGTATTTTGTCAAGATTTGAACTTTAAATGATTATAAATAAAAACTCTAACTAAGGATTTTTAATATTTTTCAAATGTCATTGTAACAAATAACAATATAGTAGGAGCCTTGTATTAAATTTTCAAGCTTTTTTACCCAACAAAATAAAGTTTTATTGACATTCATAGAAAAAAAGACATATAAATTTGGAAACAGAAAATGTTCCTACACACTTCAAAACAAATCAAAATATTTTTTAAATTGTATCATGTATTCGTGTATATATAAAATGCAAATACAAACGACCAGTGAAAATTCCATGTATATACGTTCATTTGTTTTAGAGTTACACCAAAATCCAAAATCGATTTTTCGTAAATTATTATCAGATATCGAATAAATTCGTTCAAGTCAATAAACATAAGTCCATATAACTATATAGTATAGTAATACAATGCTTCTTATAAGTAGTTTTTACAGAAACCAAAGTAAAGCTTTTGTTATAGACAATAGACATAATGGTCGGGAGGTCGTACAGTCAGATGGAACGGCCACCTGACAAGACCCGATGGGATCAGTCAGATGACATGTCTGCACACGAACTGATACGACGTCCGACCTGACCAAATTATCCTGTCGGCCCGACCAAATCATATTGTGTGTAGGGGCTTTAGGTATGTGAAATTGTTTTCAAGAAATATCGAAAGGCAATAGTTATTAGGTGTAACACATGTGTCGGAACCGAAATCGTTTTACGAAGATTTTCGACGGACGTGTATTATTTGGAAAAAAAACAAAGATTTCATGTCAGAGCACGAAACGTTTTCGTCTTTCGGATGGTGTTTTATGGTTCTCACAGCTAACAGTGGGAACAACACTCTCACACCGAGAGACAACTACACTGCAGCTGTATAGTTTAAGGAGATCGAATAATGTAATTACGTCATCATGATGCATCTATATTACTATCCAAATAATAAATATAATTTCCTTATGTTTAATATAGGTATTTTATAATTTAAAATAACATAACAATTAATTAAAAGTAATGCTGTAATATTAAGTTCTAACTAACTATGTACCTACTTACTTACGTACAATTCATAAATATTTTTACATTCCTTGTCTATATGAAAGAAAATATGCCATAAAAATACTTTATAACTATAATAGGATAGTGAGACACAAAATGTAAAAGGAAAATGTTTTACCCTTCCTTTGAGAAATTCCTGTTGGCTGTTGATGCACTTGCGTACAACAGTGGTTGAATTTATACTATTATATAATCATTTTATTTTCCAAAATTCTCAGTTCTCAATTTAATATTTTACTGTGCGTCTGTGGCACTCTCTGTGCAGACTGCAAAGTAAGTAGGTACTATTACAGACTGTCACAGCCGTTATTTTTATTTTTGAGTACTAAATACGTTAGATTTTATTGTATACAATTATCAAAATGTTCAGTATGTTCAAATTAAAAAAAATCAAGTATTGCTAAGAACGAAGATGACCCAAACAAATTATGGTTTATATTAAATTTTGGCTTTAGCGGACTTTTCTTAACAACTAAATTTCAGTGAATCTTATAAGGTGGTGTGGGGGGCTTGCCCTCCTTGTGTTATTTTACACTTTGGTTTTGTAGGACTCTAGCCCCTGTAACTATTCAATCCTAGTTACGCCAATGACTCTACTCTCTATACCACGGATTAATATAGGTAAGTATTAATCGGTGCTCTTTAGTCTTTACGCACAACGTAAATTAAAATATTATATTAATTTATTATCAATGAGAATTATAATTGATAGTGTGATAAAATGATAACATACGTCTGTGATAAAAAAATAAGAAATAACATTTTTTTTAACTTGATTACATAATATCCAATAATATGCTGATCCTTACTATACATTTTTCTTATAGATATATGATAATAGAGTATTAAGATTCTTTCTTGTTAAGTTCTTACTGAATTCTTCTATTATTAAATTGTGAAACTTTTAAAAAAATTATTAACTAAATCGTGTTTAGTTTGTTAACAAAGGAAGCTTGGTTTTATGTAATATCATTGAGTATAGATAGTAGGTAACAATATATACTCAATGGTAATATGAACATTATTCATTTTTTTATTTGAAAATACTGAAACAGTAAGTAGACATGTTTTATTTTATATACCTTAATAATGCAATAGAATTAAGCATATTATATTAGAAAGTGTCATACTGTCATCAATAAATGGCTTCTTTCATCACTTTTTTTAGTTTTTTCCTGTAATAGTTTTTTATGCACTTAAATTTAATCACATAATTATGCTTATTGTGTTAATTTATATTGATTGTATATTTTTGTATAATAATATATTAGGTATTCATAAAAATAAAAATTAGATTGAAGTATACAAATTTAAATTATTCACATTTTACTACTAAACTAGTAAGAACTTAATGTTAAATTTACAGGATGAAAACAAATAAGCTACCTATTTAAGGAGTAATTTATTCATTTTTTCCAAAGTAATTATAAACACTGGTGAACTTATGTAAATGTAACTTTTTATCGATACTTTTATAAGTTATTCTTTATTTATATTGTTGAAATGTATTTATAAAATGTAACATTACCACGTACCAGTGATGTATTCTTAAAAAAGTTTATGGGTTAGGTAAATCATTGTAAAAAATAACTTGGGGGACACATCTAACCTGCGTACCACGGCTTTTGTTAAGGGTACACGCATAAATATAAAATTAGGAGGTGGGTACACTCCGTGTACCAGCCTGCACCACTACACCACTACCATGTACCATTGCTACGCATTCCTATCTTTACAATTGACTGATTTGTTTCAGAAATGAACAAGTTTTTAGCAGTAACACGACTTAAAACAGATAATGAATCAATTGAAACAACTACATCTGAAAATCAAAGTCAAGTTGAAAGAAAAATTGAAAAATTATTTGAATCATTTTGTTCTAAAGCACAATGTGATCCAGAATCTCCAGTTTTATACAAACAAAACCACATCAACTATATAAAAAATCATATGTTTACACTACCAGAGAACTATGAATGTCTCGACTCCAGCCGACCTTGGTTATGTTACTGGTTGTGTCAATCACTCGCACTTTTAAACTGTAATTTGTCAATTTTGGAGAAATCTAATGTTGTTTCTTTCTTATCAAAGTATGCAATTCAAATATATTGTAGCAGAAGCTTAAATAATTATATTTAAACATCAAATTTTTTTTAGGTGTCAACATGAATCTGGCGGCTTTTGTGGTGGACCAAATCAAATGCCACACTTAGCTCCTACATATGCTGCTGTCTGTGCATTGTGTTTAATAGGTACAGAAGAAGCATACGCTGTGATCAATCGAGAAAATTTATATAAGTTTTTGGTATCTCTTCGTTTGCCTAATGGTTCATTCAGAATGCACAAACATGGCGAATGTGATGTTCGTGCTGTGTATTGTTCAGCAACTGTAGCGCGTTTAACCAACATATATACAGATGTTTTGTTTGAATCAAGTGCTCAATGGGTAATCAGATGTCAGACATACGAAGGAGGCTTTGGTGGGGTGCCTGGGGTGGAAGCTCATGGGGGATATACATTTTGTGGATTTTCAGCTTTATTATTACTTAAATCAATTCATATGTGTGACACAAAATCACTTCTTCGGTGGGTAGCAAATAAACAGATGTCATTTGAAGGTGGCTTCCAAGGGCGAACTAATAAGCTTGTGGATGGATGCTATTCTTTTTGGCAAGCTGCTATTTTTCCAGTAATATCAGAACTATTAGAATCTGAAAATCAACGGCCAATGTGGTCAATGTATGATTATCATGCTCTCCAAGAATATGTGCTCATATGTTGTCAGAATAGATATAGTGGGGGCCTTATTGACAAGCCTGGAAAACCACCTGATGTATACCATACTTGTTACGTTCTTAGTGGCCTATCTATAGCTCAACATGCAGTTGACAACAGTAGTTGCGTTGTTGGTAAACCGGAAAACGTTTTGAACAAAAATAATCCTATTTATAACATTGAAGAAACTAGTCTACAGAAAGCTCTTCAATATTTTAGTATGACAGAACCAATAAATTATTTTTAAGTATGATTATAGACTAATTGATCCAAATTAAACTTGAGGAACCTGTTTTGTGAAGTTCAAATTAAGTCTAGTTAGTATAATATTCTATGTTTTTAAGGTACCAAATCTGAGTAAATTCATACATTAATTATTTAAATTTAAAAGTAGGTACAAATTTTTAAAATGTTAATTTTGTAACTAATAATATTTCATTGTGAATCAATCTGCTAAAATTAGTGCTTCCACGGTAATTAATTGTTTTAGTTTTTTTTTTTTTTTTTTATAATTTCTTGCTTTTCTGTGAATATTTTAATTAATACAAAGTAATGAAATGGATTTTTTCTAAATTGAAGTCAAACTATAAGTTATAAATGTTATTATGTCTTCACATATTAAATTAATAATTCTTTAATTTATAAATATTTGGATGTATGAAATACAAGTTGCTGATCAAAATAAACATTATCTACTTAATTACTTAAATGTATTTCAGTTGATGTGAAAAAAATATTTTGAATTTATTAATAGTTTTAGTTAAAAATTAACTAACAGCACTTCTTGTTACTTATTTTAATAAATATAATTTTATTGAATTTGAGTTTACAACTATGCGTAATTGTTTATTTATTAAATAATATTAATTATTAACCACTGGATACATTATTCAACAAAAAGAAGAAAGAATAAAGTCCAAAACTTATTCTCAACTAAATTTTATTTAATTTTTTTAATTTAAGTATATGAGTTGATAAAACATTATTAGTTTTTTATTATAACCATACCAAACTGAAAAACGACTACTATCAGGTGGCGTTATTTTGTATTTGCATGATTATTATATATTATTTGGGTATGTGCTAGTTTTGGGCCTTCGTATAGTAACGCTAATAAGTAATATATTTAAGAATCCCTCTATTAATACATAGGTATTAATTATTTAGTTATTACTTACTGTTATCTCTCTCAAAAAAAAAAAATGGATTACTTATGCTTATGATTCATAAGTTATGATAGTAACCTTTGATACTAACTATTAAGTATACAATTTAGTAAGAAGACTTTCTGTATTGAGGTAAAAATGCAATTGTAATGTAATGCAAAGTAATTGTTAGTAAGCGTTTTTTTTAAGTTTTTATTTTGGGCCGGTCAAAATTGTCGTCCACCCTTCCAAAAATTGAAATGACGCCACTATTGTTCTATGCCACTAGGTATGAATCGACTAATTGAACATTTGCTTAGTGCATTACCTAGTGCTGTAGTGTATAAATCATAATTTACAATTTAGTATATTAAACAATATACATATCAATTGTTTATTATACTACATAAATCCACAAATTAGGATTTACCTTAATTAATAATTTATATAATATTGTTTTAATTTATTCATGTCACGTTAATATATCCATTATTCATTGAAATTGTAATAATATGTATTAATGAAGTATAGATTTTATTAAATTATTAAAGTAATAAAGTATAATATTTCTTAATTTCTTATATTATTTTCATGAACATTTTGAATCTAATTAATATTTATCCTTCAATATCACGGTTTAAGATAGACTTTGGCTACCTAAGGGGTTAAAAAAAATATGCGTATAAGTACCCTCCAAAACTTTTTTGATATAACTTTTATTGAAATAACGGTCCAGTAGTATTTGAGTATATTAACTTTAGATAAACTAACGCCCATTTTTAGCTGAATAACCCGACTTGGACAAAAAAAAAAATAATAAAATATATAGTGCTATTTAGATGTAACATGGTTTTAGTGTACCTCAAATCTCAACTCACTAGTAGGTACCTAAATCGACGTCGGTCGTCGGTGTACCTTGCTTTGTGAACTAAATACTAATTCGAACTTTGATTCGTGAAATGGACAAGGACAATATTCACCTAGCTGTGGCAATCCAATTCATTTTTTCTAAGGTATTATACATTAAATCTTTCTCCGAGACTTGGCAAAACTATACTAAAATAGTAAAATCCGTTGGGTATTTTTCGAGATATGCGCGAACCTACATGATATTATACAAAAAAATGGGCTTCTATATTAATAATATAATATTTATATTATATATATGTATATAAATAGATATTAATATATTATTATGTACCTGTACGTATACACAATACACTTTAGAGTATAGGCTATAGTTAGTATAGGTACGTATACAATATATTATTAAACCACATCATCGTAATTTAGATAATGATGGTTAACAGGTGTAATTTTTCAAAAATTTTAATAGTATCGCGTCATAAATATAAAATATTACAATATTAATTATATATTTTATATTGCAGATTTTTCAGGCTATATACGATGAAATTTAAAACGATGACAAAACATGTTGGCAAAGGAAATGTTCGAACGCGGCTGAACTTCCCGCCGAATCTACCAAAGTCCAAAGGCTTTACAAGTCTCGTGGCCGGCGCGGAATGTTCGCGACGAGTCGTTCCCCCTCCACGGTGTCCACACGCCGGCCGGCGTCCACCGTCCACGGCCCCCGTGCCGGGGACTTTTTCTGTTGTCTTTTGCCTACGCTTGAACTTGGCGGATCACGTACCGCCGGTTCGCTTCGCATCGTGTGGCTGTGTTTTGACCTCGTGGTCAGTTGACATTGGTGCAGTATTTAGTTTTTGATTATTATACTTGGTGCACACCAAGACCGTCGTAAACTCTGAGACAGTCGGGGTTTGACGGATTAGTGTCGCGGCCCACCACCGAATTAAATTATACTTCGAATTATACCTACATCAAGACGCTGTCGCATTTCCAGCGAGGACCGCGTGCTGTCCAGTGACCAACGCCGGAGGTCGATCAGGTCATATTATTTTCTCTTATTTTCTACTTATGTATTATTCATATTTATTATAATTATTGTAATTATTTTTCACTTATTGTTATTGGTTGTAGCGCGTGGTTACCGGCCCACGGCGCCTACATTTATTTATATTCCTGTTTTGTATGTACCTACCTTTAGCGTTATTATAAAAAAATATATATTGCGTCATTTCGCATTAAATTAATGACAATATTTGTACGAGATAGTATAGTGTGAGTTTGCTCCTTCCCGTCCACAGCATTGCGCGAGTCGTTGTCGCTAACCGCGAATTTTAAAAGTAGGAGCGGCACGGCGCACATTTTTGGTAGCAGAGCGTGGTTCCCGACCTTAGTGTGGTGGTTTGGGTAGCGTTGTGTTGTGACAGTTTGTGCTGATCTCGTACGGTGTTCTTAGGGAGATTTGTGTAAATCTTATTATAGTTTAGGTACTTACTGTTGCATTAACTGCAACCGTATCATAAAAATTTATTAAAATCGCCGTCACAATGGGCGAAAAAGAAGTCGAGCGTGAAACTAGGGCTAAAGCAATCGCGTTGGTTAAACGCACTACTGCAGTGTCGAACATTAGGGCAGTCCATGCTATGGCGTTACGAGTCAAAACCGAACCCGACTTAGTTCCCCAATTTTTAGTTGCCATTACTGACTTAGATAGTTTATGGAACCAATTTAAGCTCGAGGACGAGTCGGTCTTAAATAGTTTAGTTATACTAAACGAAACGAAAGATTATGATGTGGGCCTTCCAGCGGAAGTTCGGGGTCTTATTACGGCGTCAAAGGCAATGGCAGAACAGGTAACCCCGAAAGGTGCAGATTTAATTGACATGTCATATATTAATAATAAATTAACGGTTAACCAGACACCGGCTGATGACCCAGGTAAATCGTACTCGCGTTTACCCGAGATCCCGTTACCTACGTACGATGGTGATCTCCGGGACTGGATCACGTTTCGAGATAGTTTTACGACACTATTAAATAAATTTCCCAATCTATCCGATATTGATAAAATGTACTATCTAGTAGGCAGTTTAAAAGGTGTTGCGGCGGAAGCGGTCCGGGGTATACCGTTATCAAGCGATAATTACAATCTGGTGTGGTCTACGTTGACAGACCGTTTCAATCGTCCGCGTCTAGTCGCCACGTCACTTGTCAACAATTTGTTAAATGCGACAGCTATGTCGCAAGAGTCTTATCAGGATTTAAACCAGTTTATATGTACTTTTAATCGAAATATTGCGTTATTAGACGCGCTCAAAATACCCGATTTGGGGTCGTTTATGTTATTCTCGATAGCTTTTAGATGCCTGCCTATTGTAACACGTCGTTTGTTCGAAGCTAGCAGCCCGACCGATTATCCGACTGCAAACCAATTAATAGATTTTATTCGGTCCCGCGTGGCCGTATTGGAAGTTGCAGGTGATTCGCACAAAAGCACCCCTTCCGCAGCCGCGCTGTCCAAATTTGGGAAATCGACTGGCCAGTCTCGCACGGGGGGAGAACGGTACGGGAAGCCACAGGGCTATCATCCAACGTCCCTGGTCACGGCTAAGTCAGGTAGTGTTTGTCTCTGTTGCTCGGAGGCTCACAATTTAGCAGCATGCACAAAGTTTAAATCATGGCCTGTTGACGAGCGGTCGCGTTGGACTCGTGAACATAAATTGTGCTTTGTATGTTTGAGTGCCGATCATTGGGTGCCTAAATGTAGGTCAAAAATTAATTGTACTGAGTGTTCACGTAGACATCATTATCTACTTCATGTACCTGCCGGAGAACGGCATGATAAACAGGATACCCCGCTACCCGCATCCGCACCCGCGTCATGTTGCGCATCGGTACAACGGCCGTCGCCACAACAATCGCCAGCTGTGATGTTAGGTACCGCCCTCGTTCATGTTCGCGATCGGTCCGGCTCGTGGCAGACCATGCGGGCGCTGGTCGATTGTGCATCGCAAATTAGTGCTATCACGGCTGCCGGTGCCGATAGATTAGGTCTCAGGCGGTCGCGCTGGACAGCTCCAATAAGTGGTTTATCGGGAGTCGAAGTAATGAATGTACAAGGCCGGGTCGAGTGTACTGTACATCCGCGATTCTCGTCCGAGCCCGCGTTAACCGTACACGCTTGGGTGTTGCCCACGATAACGAACGAATTACCTACCAAAACGTTAGCCGT